ACATGAGATTATGTAACTACTACAAAGGATGATTAAAGAGCATCCTCTCAGGGTTTCCACCATCTCTATCAGACTAGTGAACCTGGTTTTATTTTGATTTTGAGTTTTGTTCCTCATTTTTTACCTACTCTACCCAGGAACTTCTTTTATGATCCCTCTCAGGGCAGTGACCAGGGGTAGCTGAGCATCATCTTGTTCTTTGGTTTCAGGCTCCTGGATGCTGAGGTTTGCACTGCCAATTAGTCCCATGTGAGTTTGATTTTCTTCACTCTTCTTTGCTATTGACAGAGATGGACCAGTGATTACAACTTAAATCTTCAGTGGTCATTCACGAGCTTTTAAAACTCCACATCTCCTGACCAAAGGAGGATGTAGAATTGTTATGGTGTGCAATCACACTCAATAAAATCTTCAATATGTTTGAGTCTTTGTTGTTGTTATTACTAAGTCAATCAATCTCTTTGAGGGTTTTCCTTGTTTGATTGATTCTGTACTTAATCAAACATGATATCCTTTTATACCAGTTAGTTTTCTCTGATGATGTGATTGTAGTAAGTGAGCTGAAATCTAGCCATCCCTGCTGCTAAGGAACATCCCAGGTGCATTTCTTCTATGGCAGATTTGTTCAATCTTCTGATATCCACAGTGTCTTCCATATTCTTGACTAGCATCTCCACTCAAATGCTCCATCTCCGCTTTGGTCTTCTTTTTGTGTCTTCCTTGAACTCTGATGCTGTATTCCTCTTCATGTAGTCCATCTTCTCTGACTGCTTGCTAGGCATCCAGATTGCTAGGCTTAAGTAAACTGAAAGACTACAACCCTGCTGTATGCCTTTTCTAATCCTCAACTCACTGTGCTTACTAGCTCTTTGAAAACAACAGGTAACCAAACCTCTTCTTAACTCCAATTACTCATCTATTCATTGGGGAAATAGTAGTAACTATTTCATAGTATTGGGTGTCCAGGGGTGTAGTGGTTACGTGTTTGGCTGCCAACTGCACGGTTGGCAGTTTGAAACCAACAGCAGCTCTGTGAGAGACAGACCGGACTTTCAATCTCAGAAACCCACAGGGGGTCGCTATGAGTCAGCATTGACTTGGTGGCAGAGAATTTGGTTATATCATTGTAAAGATGAAATGTGATGATAAATGAAAGCCTTATGCACATTTCCTGACACATGATCAGCATCTGGAAATGTCAGCTAATGTTCCACATGCTGTTATATACATATTACATGCTTACTAAATGAGTATAATTAAATTGATATTTTAAAAGAATAGAGTAGGATCTCATGACCCAGATCCTTGTGAATCAAAGGTGTTTCAGGAGTAGCAGAATCACATCACCTGAAACTTGGTAGAAATGCAAATTCATGGGCCCCAAATCAGACCTGTTGAGTTCAAATTTCTGGGATGGGACCAACACACTTCCCAAATGACTTTTCTGTGTGTTAGTCTGAGAACCACTGATGTAAAATATGAAGAATGATTCAATTAATCTAATTTATGTAGTGAACACTGTGTGACTAATAAGCGCGGCTAGTTGGCCAGTGAATCCTTTCCCATACCTATAAAGTATATTTTTTAAAGGGGAATGAAGACTGTGTGCTCCTCAGTGGTAGTGATTTTTTGTGACATATCTTTGACTTCAGAGTGCAGGCACACACTTGAAATTCAGACTAGTTTTAACTGATCAACTGCTTTCTTAAATATCTTTTCAAAGAACTAGAAAAGTTGCCCGCTTATTAAGTTAAATACTTTGTTAAACTTGTTTTACATTAGTTTTTATAGCTAAATCAAAATATAAATGTTGGAATATGTTGAACATATACAAAATATAATATTGTCTCAGAAATATCCTGAGTTTTTGTTTTTCGGGTTTTCTTTGTTTGATAATTTTATGAGCTCTTAAAACGCTTCCCTGGGAAGAAAAATAAAAACGAGGCTTCTGTATGTCATAATCAAAGCATAATTTGCTAAAATACTGGCCAATATTTACAGTTCAAAATCTAGCAAATGGTATGGAGAAGGATTATAAAATAGTAATTGCTTTCCTTTTCTGAAAACAAACCAACAAAACCCAAAACACTCCACATTGAAGTATGAATTAAACATCAGGCACAGTGATTCATCTTTCTACCTTAACTATAATGATCATCATCATCATGATCATCATCATCATCAAGTTGGGGGGAAATATATTTGCTTCGTAGCCAAACAGGACAAGACTACCACCTTCCCCAGCTCCTGGCCCGTGGGAGAATGCCTCTTCCATGGGAGCTACCTCTCTACCTGTGATGAACAGACAATTAGTTCCCGTTCCCTGACTAAAGCTGCAGAAGGCAGCAGTGTGTAAACTTATCAGTTACTTCATGTTCCCAGCCTCATCCTCCCCTCCCATCTATGAATAACTTGGCTGATATGTTAATGCTTCTTTGTAAACCTTCCAATTGTGAATTGTCCTTTTGTGTAATCCTGGCACAAGATTCAGGCGACGTGACAGGAAGAGTATTAAAACTGCCCTTAATACCATCCAGGGCCCTCGTGTGTCTATCCACAGTGACACCTGCATCCTATCTTTCGGTTGTCCCTTTTGTATGTGTGTTCTCATTGCAAAGCGTGACTCCACTCAAATCCATTATAAATGTAAGATAAGAGCCAATTTCTACGTTATCTTACAATCAAGTACAGTGAACCCTCGCCACTTCTCGCTTCGACTTCTGCGGCTTCACTCTATCGCGGTTTTTGCATAACAGTGCATGCTCTGTCATTACTGCCACTGATTGGCTCATACTGTACACACTTGATGCCATAAATAATATAATAAATAATAAATGATAATTGTAACGTCCAAAATGTTTTACTGTATTTTCCCTTTTTTGTTTAATAAATTGGGTAATAAGAGTGTAATGGTGACTAAAGGGTGTTTTTTCATGTCCTCTATGCTCTAACTAAGAAAATATTTGATTTACAAATAAGGAATCCTACTTCGCGGAATTTCATTTATCACGGTAGGGTCTAGAACCGATTAACCACGATAAACTAGGGTTCACTGTACTACTATTTTATCTCCTGTGATGCTGGGGTGCTATGCAATTCATTACACATTATGCCATTTAAGTGATAGGGAAAAATCACTTGGACACTCTGCGATTTTTTTTTTTTCATTTTGAAGTCTCACTTTAAAGATCAGCATGGTGTCTAGACAGGGCAAAACCACTATGTTTAGACAGAGCTAAGAGATCATGGAATCACAGGATTGTGCCTTGTAACATTTAGAGTTATCGAGATATATAATTATATATAGTTTTTAGCCCCTATGTGGCTATATAACAGAGATTCAATAAAAGAGGTTGTGTTGTCATTGGTATTTTTGTTATGCAACTTGGAAGGCGCAAAAATACTTCAAGGAGCATCCTTCTCATTCCATGCCAGATTAGAAACCAAGCAGACATGGAATGCTGCTGGTTACATTATGGGGATTGTAAATATGTATGAATTATTGAGGGGAAAACTAATTTTCTTTACAAATCCTCATCCAATTAACCAATAAAATGTTTTTTTTAAATATAAATATATTACTCAGTCATGACATGAAGCAAATTATTTAGAGCTAAAAATAACTTGCTTTGTTTTAAAAATCACCCTTCCATGTGAAAGCTTTGGAAGAGAAGGAAGCAGGGCACGAGGACCCTGCATCTTTGGGAAAAGAGCAGAAGGCCTATCAACACGGACAGGAGCTAGATTACACGGTGGCATTGAGTTACTAAGACATGATTGATGCTTCAGTTGGCTATAACGTGTAAAGGTGTAACAATGAAAGCACGGCAGAACAGTATAATAAGAACAGTTACCCTAACTCGACTGATGGCTACGATGGGAGAAGGAAGAAGATGCTCGCTCAGGGACAGTGAGTTCATGTTCACGGTGGTGGGAGAGTTAGGAAAAGGATATCAATAATGATTGCACAACACAAGAGTATAATCAAGGGCTCTAAAACTACATGTTTAAACTGAGTTAAACATGTAGTTGTCAAGTTGGAGAATGTTTGTTATGCAAATATTTTTGCGATAATTACAAATTTATACTAATAACAATGAGTACAAGAAGAAAATGTTCAAAAATGGATTGTGGTAATTATTGTACAACTCTTCTTGACTGAACAATTGAATTGTGTGATCTGTGGGTGAAATGACAATAAAACTTAAAAAAGAAGTATTTGTTACTAAAGAAAGCACCTTTGAAAATGGTTGTGCAGTTGAATTCTATATGATAATTATTATAGGCTCATTTTCCTTGTTCATCTTACTATGATTAAAGCCTAGAATTGAGCAAGGCCAGGGCATTTTTTAAATGTCCAGCATCCCTTGTTGAATTTGTGTGTGTGCGTGTGTGTGCCTCCTCAATAAAAAGGTTTTTTTTGTTTTGTTTTCCCTGTGCTACTAGTACCAGACCCAAGCCATGGTATTTTCAATCACTTCATATGCATGTGAAATTTGATCACTGAATAAAGAAAACTGAAGAAGAATCAATGCATTTGAATTATGTTGTGATGAAGAATATTGAAAGGATCATGTACTGCAAAATAAAACAAACGAATCCTTCTTGGAAGTGTACCAGGAATTCTCCTTCAAAGCAAGCATGCAGAGATTTTGTCTAAGCTACTCCAGGCGCGTTATCAGGAGAGATCAGTCCCTGGAAACAGACATTGAGTTTGGTAAAAGTAATGGGGCAGCAAAAAAGAGGACGATCTCATGCAAGATGATTGACACAGTGACTGTAACAGTGGGTTCAAATATATGAACAATTGTGAGGACGGCGGAGGACCAGGTGGTCTTTCCTTCTGTTGTACATAGTCCTACTGTGATTCAGAATGGAAACAATAGTACCTAAGAACACTAATAAATATTCCCGAGAGCAGCATTGTGAGTATATGGTGAGCAACTGAAGTAGTACCGTAGTATCTAAACAGCATAAATTATCTATGGAAGAGAAATTACCTGTGGGCATTTGCTCCATGGACCCCAGTTAGACATGACACATTCATTGGGGCATAGCAGAGAGCAGGATTGAGTGTCTGGGGGTTTGTCATGCTGGCTGCACAGGATATTGTCCACGGTTCCACCTTCCATGTCAGCAGTATTCGCACACCTGTCAGGCAAGATTCCAACATAAGGCGATTACTTAAAACCGTCGAAAGTAATCTTAGTTATATTGTGGCATAATTACTTATCCTTTGATGATAACTTAAAAAGAAAATACAGATAGTAGAGCAACCAGGGACAAAAATTTATTCCTTGAGGAGTCAACTTGTATTGAGTTATAAACTCTGTAAAACTGCTTATTCAACACAGCAGAAGTGAGTAATAAATGTAGAAACAATTGTTGGTATTTAAGAACACTGAATTTAAAGAGACTCTTAATATTACTAAATACAACAGTCAATGAGATTTCCTTTTACTGTATAAAATTCAGAAACCTCTGTGATAAGGCTGTGCTTCACCTTGCCTATTTCAGGAGTCTCATTGGTTTGGCGGTTAAGATGCAGTTGTCTTCCATGATGAGATCTCGCATAGTGTAAACCCAACATGATGAGATCTTTTTTGTGCAATCAATCAATTGAATGAGGATTTCCTTGGGAGCATGGCCAGCGTCCAATTTATTGGATCTTGAGCCTTCAGTTTGTCATATTGCTTGCTGATCCTGAGAGTGGTATCCACCAAACATGGATTCATTTGCTCCTGTAGCCAGAAGTTGCCTTCTGATCTGTTGCTGTTGGGTTCATCAGTTCCAATAGCTATGTGAGTCAGGAGAAGTCTCCAGCCTGACATCTGAACCAAGGACCAGAAACTTGCCAGTCTCTACAACTGTGTGAGTTATTTCCTTGAGATAAATCTCTGTATATGAATATGTTTTTTTAACTCTAGAGAACCCTGACTACAACTAGTACTTAATCTGTTTCTTTGAATAAATCCATTATTTTGTAGTAGTCTGTGCTTTCACATGTCTGCAACTCTTTTGGAACTCCCCACATTTCCATCTCATCCCCTCCAAACTTTACTAATCTTTGACCAACTAATTAAATGTCAGAGAAAAATGTAATTTGATACATATTGGATTAATGTAAGAGGTTTTGTTGTTGTAAACTAAAGGGAAAAAGCAAGTATTTTCAAGGAGTAACTAAGCTTAGAGTAGAGGTACATATTCTAGTTATTTGAACTACTCTATATTGTTTTGATATAAGTGCTGGAGAAAGCAAAACTAGAAAAAATATATTGTTGAATGAAGATTCAGTGAAATTAGAGTCAAAAGATGGAATTACCATATATATTCCAGAATAGATATTTTAAAATATGTGGAGGGAAACCCAAGGATTGGCAAAGATATGGAACAGTTTCAACTCTTTCATTTTGCTGGCTAGAGAATAAATTACTTCAAAGTATTTTTGGCAGTATAATTCCTCTTCTATTTGTGCATGCAAGAAAAAGTACAAAAATGTGTACCAAAATAGCCAAATGAAAATATTCATAGCATAATGAATAATCACCAACATTAAAACCAAGGGGAGTTTGGGAGAAAACAATGAAGGCAGGACTGGGGAGGGAGCACTGGAGCTGATCGTGATTGCACAACCCATTTTAGGGGTGAATCAACCCTGGGGGTGGGGGTCGGGGATGCTCTAGGATGAATGTAGTGGTGATCATACGATTCCTCCTTGATGTGTTTAAACGACTGAACTGTTCAGTTGGGGAAAAAAAGAATAAAACCATGTTCTGACCTGTTTAAAAATATATATACATAAATAAATGCCTCCCTCCCCAAGGATTGGGTAAGAATATTATGGATAATTAACTCAATTGAGTATTATATGCTAATGAGAATCAATCAGCTTCTGTTACAGAAATAACAAGGATGAAATTCTCAAAAGTATGTTGAGCAAAAGGAGCTAAACACAGAAAGCATATGCCATTTTATTCTACTTTATATAAAGTTCAAAAGGATAATAATCTGTTGTGTCAGAAAAAAATGGCTACTATTGTTAAGAATGTTAGTAACTGATAGGAGTTTAGGAGGTGCTGGTAAATTTCTGCTTCTTGAACTCTGGGCTGTGAACTCTGTTCACAATGTGAACAAGTTTTTGGATTTCTCTGTATTTATATAACTCCTCAGAATCCACTCAATGGCAATGCGTTTGGTTTTTGAATAGGTTACTGGATCCCACTTATCAGTCATTTTGCTGTTTTCTGGTGGTTTCCATGTTGCTGTGATGCTGGAAGCTATGCCACTAATATTTCAAATACCAGCAGAGTCATCCATGGTGAACAGGTTTCAGTACAGCTTGCAGACTACAAAGAAGGAATAGGCTGTCCACTTCTGAGGGGTTAGTACTGAAAATGTTATGGATAATAGCAAAACACTGTCTGCTACTGTATCTTCCAGGTACAGTGCTAGACGATGAACTCCTCGGGTTGGAGAGCACTCAGACTATCATTGGAGAAGAGCTGCCACCATAAAGTAGAATTGATTTAATAACATGGATGGGATAAAGCTCCGGGCACCTTAATTTGCTCATGGCACATGACTCAAAAGAAGAAATAGCTGTTAAAATCCATTAGTAATCAGAATGTAGAATGTAAATAGTATGAATCTAGTAAAATTGGAAGTTGTCAAAAATAAAATGACAGATATCTGAAGGCTGAAGGTCATCCAACAACAGTTGCAGCACTACAATGTCAGGGAACTGCCAGAGATGCAGGCCTGACTCAGAAGAAGACGTGGAACAAGGGATAGCATTGCTGATCTCTGATAGATCTTGACTGAAAGCAGAAAATACCAGAGAGATGTTTACTTGTGTTTCAGTTGCCTATGCCAAGGCATTTTACTGTGTGGGTCAGAAAAAATCTACAGGATAGCCCTGAGAAGAATGAGAAATCTTCAGTATGCTTACACGGAACCTGTGCATGGACCAAGAGGCAGCTATGGGAACAAAGGAATACAGCATGGTTTAAAATCAGGAAAGGTGTGTGTTAGTCTGGGTATTTTAGAGAGAAAAAATCCACAGAATCTCATGTATAAGAGAGAGTTTAATGTCAAGATTAAGTGCGCATCAAGAAAATATCCCAATCCAGGGCTGTCCAAGCCCATAAGTCAGACATTAACCCATTAGCCCATATGTCCAACACCAATCCACAAAGTCCTCCTCCATCTCACAAAAGAGATGCAATGATTCTGACTGCAGGAGGAAAGGCGAGTCAGTGAATGTGTAAACATCTCAGCGCTGGCAGGGGTCTCCACACAGCTGCTCCAGCACCCAGGGCTAAATTGGGGAAGGTCCATGTGGCTTCTCCTCAGGGATGTCTTGCAGGAAGTGAGCCTTGCACCAGCTGAAGCAGGGAACTGGCTAAGGCAGCTGCACCCTGGTCCAACCATCAGAAAGCAAGAGACCTGAGAACCAGAAAGGTGAGGCTCACTAAGCCATTTATCCCTGATTATGTACAGGTGACAGAATGGCAAGGGGTGCATTGAGGTAGTCAGTTTATTGTGTCAACCTGGCCGATAAACACATGTGAGTTAATTGAAGGGCGGAGAGACAAATGGCTCAGTGAGCCTCGCCTTTCTCGTTCTCGGATCTCTTGCTTTCTAATGGCAATCGGACCAAGGTGCAGCTGCCTTAGCCAGTCCCCAGCTTCAGCTTGCAAGGCTGACATCCTGCAAGACATCCCTGAGGAGAAGCCACATGGACCTACCCTAATGCAGTCCTGGGTGCTGGAGCAGCCGTGTGGAGGCCCCTGCCAGAACTGAGATGTTTACATGTTCACTGACTCGGTTTTCCTCCTGCAGTCAGCATCATTGCATGTGTTTTGTGAGGTAGAAGAGGACTTTGTGGACTGGTGTTGGACATATAGGTTAATGGGTTGAGGTTGGACATGTGGGCTTGGGCAGCACTGGGTTGGGATGTTTTCTTGATGTGCACTTAGCCTTTACATAACACTCTCTCTTATACATGAGTTTCTGTGGATTTTTTTCTCTAAAGTACCCAGACTAACACAGGTGTGTATCAGGGTTGTTACCTCTCACCATAATTATTACATCTGTATGTTGAGCAAATCAGCAGAGAAGTTGGATTATAGGACTATTACAGCATCAGGATTAGAGGAAGGCATAGTCACAACCCGTGATATGCAGATGACACAACCTTGCTGGCTGAAAGTGAGGAAGAATTAAAGCACTTGCTGGTGAAGTTTAAGGACTGTAGCCTTGAGTGTGGATTACAGCTCAATGTAAAGAAAACCAAAATCCTCAGGACTGGACCAATAGGTAACAGCATGCTAAATGGAAAAAAAAAGTTGAAGTTGTCAAGGATTTTGTCTTACTTAGATCCAGAGTCAAATGCTCAAGGAAGGAGCAGTCAAGAGATCACACAACACATTACCTTGGACAGATCTGCTGCACAAGACCTCTTTAACATATTGAAAAGAAACGACGCTATCTTCAGGACTAAGATGTACCTTATACAAGCTATGATATGTTCGATTGCCTATATGTACATGAAAGGTGGACATTGGATAAGGAAGACTGAAAAAGAATTGATACATTTACATTAGGGTGCTGATGAGGAATACTGAAAGTATTATGGTCTCCAGAAAACAAACAAATCTCTCTTAAAAGAAGTACAGCCAGAATGATCGTAGAGGCAAGGCTAGCAAGACTTGGTCTCAAATACTTTGGACATGACAGGAGAGACTAGTGTCTGAAGGACATCATGCTTGGTCAACTAAAAAGGCAGAGAAAAAGAAGGAGGCCCTAGACAAGATACATGGATACAGTGGTTGCTAAAACGGGGTAAGGCACAGGGACAGTTGGAGGATGGCTCAGGACTGGGCAGTGTCCGTTTGTTGCACATAAGGTCACTATGGGTTGGAACCAATTTAATGGCAAGTAACAGCAATAACAATAACACAGATATAACCTACTGGCTTACATGGCAAAAATGACTGTATGTCTGTGACTAAGTTAAAGATCTTGAGAAGGGAAGATTGTGAAGCATGATCCAGGTAGGACAATGTAATCAAAACTAGAAACATAGGGAATCCAGGACAGATGATCCCTTCAGGACCAGTGGTGAGAGTGGCAATACTGGGAGGGTAGAAGGAAGGTGGGGTAGAAAGGGGGAACCGATCACGCGGATTTACATATAACCTCCTCCCTGGGGGACAGACAACAGTAAAGTGAGTGAAGGGAGGGAGACATCGTTCAGTGTAAGATATAACAAAATAATAATAATAATTTATAAATTATCAAGGGTTTGTGAGGGAAGGGGGTGGAGAGGGTTGAGAAAAAATGAGGAGCTGATACCAAGGGCTCAAGTAGAAAGAAAATGTTTTGAGAATGATGATGGCAAAAAATGTACAAATGTGCTTGACACAATGGATGGATGTATGGATTGTGATAACTGTAAGAGGCTCCAGTAAAATGATTTTTTTTTTTAAGTTAAAAAAAGGAAGACAAAAATATCATTTGAAAAATGTGGCTGGCAGAAAGGCACAGGGAGATGAAATCCTGCTAGCTTTGTTGTAAGCCAGGATTACTCCAATATTTGCATTCCAACAGCCAATGATTATCAATGCACCTTAATTTCATGTCTTATCAATTTCAGACTGAAGACACTGGTAACATTTTTCAATTTCTTCATCACTAGTTTTGATGGCTTGTTCATAAATCTGAATAATAGTTGTTCTGACTGGATTTCCTTGTATGCAGATAGACTTCGTCCTAGCACAGAGAGCATTGTACTTCAAGGTAGACCTTGACGTGTCCTTTTGGACGATGAATGCAATGCCTGTCCTCTTGCATCGGCCATTCCAGGTATAGTAAACTATAGGATTTTCAGGTTCAAAAAGGCCAATATCAGTCCGTTTCAGCTCATGAACACCTAGAAATCTGATTGTTATGAGTTCCATTTCATTTATTACAACTCCAATTTTCCTAGATTCATACTTCAGTACATTCCAAGTTCCAATTATTAATTGATGTTTGCAGCTTTTTCTTATCACTTTTGGTCATGCCCCGTCAGCAAATGAGAGTCTGAAAAGCTTCACCCCTGCAGGCTTTACTCCATTCATGTCTTTAGAGTCAACTGTACGTTGTGAAAGCAGCTCGCTATCTGTCATATTTTGAGTGCTGTCTGATCTGAGGGGCTCATCTTCTGGCACTCTGATACTGTTCTGAAGTTTTCAGTGTCTGGCAATGTTTCTATGTTCTGCATAACATTTTCAGTGGCTTTTCTCAGAAGTGACAGCCTATTTCTATCTTGTTTGCTCTTAGTCAGAAAGCTCTGTTGGAAACTCTTCATTTTGGTTGACCTTACTGGTATTTTAAATACTAGTGAAATAGCTTCCAACGTCACAGCCGCACAGAAACCACCACAGTCCAACAAACTGACAGATGAGTGGTGGAGGGTATACCCTCGGGACACCATTACTCTGCCTTCCACATTGGACTTTTTTAACAGTTTCCCAGAATACTGGTACTTAAAATAATCCATTTCCAGAGAATTGAAGCGGAAATTTCTCCAGGGGTTATCACAAACTCATGAACAAACTCTTAAACAGATGGGTGTACCCTAATAAGAATACTGTGACCACAGAGAGGTGGGTGAGGGGAGATGTCGGACAGGGCAAGATATGACAAAATAGCAATTTATAAACTATCAAGGGCTCATGAGGGAGAGGGGAGCGGGGAGGGAGGGGAAAATGAGGACCTAATGTCGGGGGTTTGGGTGGAGAGAAAATGTTTTGAGAATGATGTACATGTGCACTTTACCCAATTGATATGTGTATGGATTGCGATAACAGTTGTGTGAGCCCCTAATAAAATGTTTTAAAAAAAAGAATAGTGTGACCATGCCCAGCACACCATCTTTGTCTTTGTCATCTAGTCTTGCCATCTCATCAGATTTCAACCCAGATTCATTGTTCAACTGTCCCAAGACATTATGATCTCTCCACTTGCTCCTCATTACCTACTCTTGAACTCATTTCAAACATGTTTTATTATCCTATCAGAGATCTCTCTAGTCAGGCACATCAAAAGACTCCATATTGCCAAGTTCAAGGGTCAAATCTCTGATTTCAACCTAATAAACTTCTCAGAAACATGTGAAACAATTGATAATTTATTATTTCTTGTCTTCCCAAACCTTATTGGAAGTTTTCCTCCTATTCTACTGGCTCTTCATTTTGACTCGTCATTCTGACTCATTTGTAGGATCATTCTCTTTCCTCTAATCTATCAATGTTAGAGTACCTCAAGGATCAATCTCTCCTCTTATGGATCTATAGCACATTAATATGCAAGCTTTGCCCAAATTTATATCCCCATTCTCAGCCTCTCCCTTGAGACCTAGATGATAATCTTCTAGTGGAATGCCTAATACCACCTTAAACTTGGTGTGTTCAAGACCAATTCATAAAATTTCTCTCGCAAGTCAGTTTCTAATATTGCTTCTCAATTGCATAATCATTTGTATAGTTGCTCAAGTATCATTGCCATATATCAAGGCCCTCCTCCTCAAACTTCTCGGCTAGAATTTTCAATGGCTTAGTTGTTAGCACCTAATAGCACTGATGACCTGACCTAACACAATGTAATTACAATCAGTTGTAAGCATCTATAATGGCATAAGGTTAGAGTAGAAGCAATACCTTTACTCAGATCATAGCCCTAATGCAATTAATAGCCGTGGGGATGCGGCCTGCTTCCAATATACGCGGATACTCTAGGAGGTTGTTTGCTTTTGCGAGGTCTGGGTCTTTCATAAGGCTTATCAACCTTCTGATTTTAGGACCTCAGCCAATGGCCTGCCATCTTGGAAATTGTCAATAGTCTGCCATTTCACCTTTTGTTTTGAGAGTTCTTTTAATACTAGAAGAAGCCTGGCTGGGAGGAAAATGTGAGGTGTCACCGATCATTTACATATTTCACAATAAACTAGCTTGGTCAGTAATTTTTTAAAAGTTCTGAGGATGTAAGACATAGGAGATACAAGTTTTATGGAGAAAGAGGTGGAAGTCTAAAATCTGCATAGCCTGAGCACACGAGTCCTTGAGGAAAGGGGCAGTGAATAAAGAGAAATAAAGATAATTTATCTACTAGCTACTTGATTAGCTTCCTGATAAGACACACCTTAGTAATTTTTCCAGCAGCTTTTATCATTGACCCTTCTAGTGGTGATTTTTTTTGACATGGATACGGAATGTCAAGTGGGCATATACTGAATAAAGTAAGTTCATTTTTATTATTTAAAGAACACATAAATAATTAGGCTACAGCTTTGGAACTGACTTTAAGAATTAATTCAATAGGGACACTTATTTGGACACTGTCTATTTGAAAGGGAGCGTCCTAAATCATGTATAACATACACTATTCCCATGATCTTGGACAGTTGACTATACTGCCTTTTCTTCCTTATTTTACATTTTAATAATTTCATTAAAATTAAAATTTTTTATTTGTTCAGTCTTTAGCATCTACTCTATGATCCTAAGTTGGTTAGCAACTTTTTCGTTTTTACTCCCAGATCATTTCTAAATAGGAAATTCTGACAATTATAGGCCAAGTTTTTTCTTTTGGTACCATTGTTTTATTTATGAAATAAAACCTTAAAACAGCTTCTGTGGGAAATAATCCACCATTTTTTAGAATTTGATCATAGATGTGCTTTTTGGTTATTAAAATACATAGCAACTCTTTGTAGGCATTGTCAGAATTGGTTTCCAAGTTAAATGGAGGGCTTAAAAGTTATATTTTCAATATATTTATATCCAACATTCAAAGAAACACTCCCATCAACTCGACTAATAATTGTGTTAAAAAGGAAATAATAACACAGATAAACATGTGCAGTTTGTTAATAGTCTGCCCACAGTTACTTCTCTCCCTGTGAAAGTCATTTGTAAGAAGTGATAGGGCTGTAGCCACCCTGAGGAATTCTAATGGTCAACAATAGCATGTCAGGATCCGTCAAAGATGAGCAAAAACAGAGTATAAAATGTGAAAAGCAGAGAACATGTAAATAAGCAACAAGGTTGTTTTTACTTTTAAAACTCTGTATGTTCCACTGCTTCCATCCCCGAAATGTCTCCATTTGCACATACCTGACCGTCCCGGATCGCATGCCCTCTCCACACCGCAAGGACCTCAGCTCATTGTTGATTTTACATGGAGACCAGTGTTCTACAACCCAGGAATACTGATTGCACTCATTGTAGCATGGGACTGCCTCATGCACCTGTCAAGAAAAGTAAAGGCAAATAGAAATAAGGAATTGTCTGAAATATATATATA